AATACCGCTCAAAATACCGCTCGCAACACAAAAAGTTGGTCAACATGGCCATGTCACCTACAGATTCTCCTGTCCTACTCACAACATCTACTCACTCTTCACCAATTTCCTTGTGTACAGTGTGGATGTGGCGCATACATTAGCTCTATGGCAAGATTGTTTACAACGGCATTTCTAAAAGCACGCCCTACCAGATCTAAACAGAATGGATATCACAGTAATGCATAATCCTAGTACGATAAAACCTTCAGTAAATAAAACCAAATTGTCAGTTTATTGAACACGTATCAAGCAACAACTTACAAAGCATTTGCTGAGTGCTCCAGTGATCAGGCGTAAACACCAATGTTGCAATAATTCACTAAAGCAACCGAATCAGGCCAAATGCCTTGCCGTGAATCGTGTTGATCCACGTCCAATAACCAACCCAGTCGTCGCAGCTTCCAACACACGTGCCGCCTTTCACGGCGTGCCCGTCCGTAACGTGAGGCGGCGGGTTCATTACCCATCCGCATGTGCCACAACCAGCACCACCACTACCACCCTCTTTAGTCATGTGACCCCACGGACACCTGCGTTTATTTTTACACGTCCACTCACCTGCAGTCGAAAACACACAAACCTAGTTTGAGCTGACTAGTGAACAGCCATGCCTGCCATCTCTGCTCGTGCATTTTCTTCCTGGGTTATTTCATGTGGCAACTGTGCTCAACGATTTATTTTTGACAGCCGTCATGTTGAATTCATGCAGATTGAGCTCATGCCCGATTGGTCTCATCTAGTGGAATATCAGGAATCCTCACCTTCAAACGGCCAATCGCCCATTTGCAATCCCATTGGAGAAACTCATTGAAGTTGTGATTTCATTTAAGCACTTTTATTGCATTCGGTGACATTCAGAGACAAAAGTACACAGAAAAATGTTTCTACAGTAGACAACTTCAGAACTATTAAACACGAGCGCGGCCAATGTGTCTGCGATTTTCAAGCGACAAGAAAGACAATGGTTTATGCAAGACACTGAATCGCAAGCATTGCAGATATCAGTAGTCCAAGTGGGGGCAGCATTGTGAAAGCGGAATCCGTTTCATACGGACGCTTATCCTTCACGTTACCGCTAAAAATATAGAAACATGCTTGTACATTCCAGAATAGGTTGACTCAAATTGGCATTCAACCCTAATTCTTCAAATGACATATTAACAGATGACGGGCACGAGAGCTGAGTAGCAATGTCCAAGAGTGCGAATTAACCACAAAACGCAGATTCGTAACTCACGCGGGTGCGTACAAACAGACCATTTGAGTAGTCTGCTTTGTTTGCTTTGGTGCTGCTCTTTCTTGTCCTGCAGGGCCTGGAGCTGGTGGATCGGGGTCTGGCGCTGGCGGATTGGGGTCTGGCGCTGGCGGATCAGGGTCTGGCGCCGGCGGGTCAGGGCCTGGCGCTGGCGGATTGGGGTCTGGCGCTGGCGGGTTGGGGCCTGGTTCTGGTGGAGCTGGGGCAGGATCTTTCGGGCATTTCATCTTTGCACACCCGACTTCGATTGTTTCAGCCCACACTATCTAATGTGGCAAAAATACACAGAACGAGGTTGCTGCAATTGAACACTAGAATCCTCGGTATGCATAGCACCAATAGTGCAATCACCGCAGGAGGCTCTTAAACACGGGCAAAGAAACTGGTGTCTGAAGGGTTAATTGCTCAAACAATTACTATAAACCACTACTGCCTTGCTCGCCAATTTCAATCTCGTGATAAAATTCCTCTTTAAACTACGGGGATGACTATATTCCCAAAGTCGATGCACAACTGGTAATGTACACCGAGTCTGTTAGAAATCGTAATGTGT